CCCCCCCCCAACAAAAAAAAAAAACAGAAAAGGATGAAAACACAAAGCACTGAGATCCGGGCTGGGGTTCGGCTTTTAGAGAACGCAAGCAGCAGGGGTGAGCGCTTGCGAGAGACGGAAGGGGTAGAACTTGGGACTCGCACAGCGGCGGAAGCATTGGGTTTCACTGGTCGGGTTTCGGGTGCTAGGTTTCAGGGTGCCGGGTGTTGTTCCGGATTTTTCGGGAATCAACCGAAGCAGGATCATATTCCTATGCACCCTAAACCCTAAACCCTACTCTTACTCTTGACCCAGGCCGGGGACTTTAGCTACGATTTCAAGTCGATGGCCAGGGATCCTGATGGACAGGAGGCGCCCTTGCAACAACTGTCTGGTGCTTAGTAGGGAATGGGGGAATGGGTTATAGGGACTACTATAAGAAACCTTAAGTATAAGGGACCTTAAGGGACGATCATAAGGATCCATTCCACCATTTCCTACTAAGCACCAGACAGGCAACAGATTTTTTGCGGTCACCTGGTCCGAAGTTGAGGCTGGAATCAGGGCTTCCGGTGAGGGCCTAAGCGGACATAATCTAGAAGCCTCATACCATGATATACCCCCAAGAACTAATATATACCCCCAAGGCCCCATTAGGAAGCCTCATACCATAATATACCCCAAGACCTAATAATATATATATATATATATACATATATACCCCCAAGGCCCCATTAAGCCCCCCTACATGCACTTGAGATAAAAATAATCGGAAGTATGAAGACTAGGAGCCCCAGGTTTGGGGCGGCATCAGCTCTGGCAGGATATCGACAAGTCCATGCGTTTAAGCTTCGAGATTTGGGATATTAGGGTTTGGGGGGTTTACGGTTTGGGGTTTAGGGGTTTAGGGTTTGGGGTTTAGGATTTAGATGGATTTAGAGTGTTAAGCTTTTGGTGCTTTGGATTTAAGGGCTGCAGGGGGCCGTGGAAACAGACTCAACTCATGCTGCAGGTCTCCCGACGGTATGGTGTTCCCAAACGCTCAACCCGACCCCCGCCCCCCCAGAATTTGTTCGTTGTCCGAAGTAACAAACCACTCTGTCCCGAGGCTGACATGCCAAAACCTGCTTCCTGATGCTCTACGACCGGAACTTTGGAGGATCTTTAGGAGCACTTCTGACTTGTTTTGCTCGTCTCCCCTTGTCGCATGAATTTCTCGCCATCTGGAGAGCTGCGATCGAGAGGAGCTCCCCCAATCAAGCAAAGCTGCACTGCGGGTTTAGGGTTTAGGGGAACAGTCGACAGTCGAGGTGGGTTCCGGGCTTACTGGCTTGAGGCTGTAAAAAGGCTAGAGGCTTTCGGCTTTGGGATGTTGAGGGTCAGGCTGTGGGGCCGGTAGCAGAGGCCCCAGACACCGCATGAGCTGCGAGTATGAGCTGCTATCAGTCGATGCTGCTTACGAATGCTGCGTGGTAGGGGGCGCTGATCTGGGATCGAGAAAACTGCTTATCAGGGAATCTTAAAATCTGGCACATCCAGCTTTCTGCTTCTGTGAACACACGATATCTGGTATCTTTTGCTCTAAGGACATACACCGTAAGCCCTGAACGAAAACTGTGTGGCCTTCACTAGTTTGGCCGAGGGGAGGGGCGCCAGTCTTCCTGCAAGCTCTCCTTTCGTGCGATGGCTATCCCATGAGTTTCGGGCCCCGAGGGGGGGGGGGGGAGAAATTAGGGTTCGGGTGAACTCGAGGCTGAAGGCTTTGTGGTTTAGGTTCAGGTGTTGGCACTTGCCAGATTCGGGGCTTTAGGAGTATACTGTAAGGTTCGGAGCTTTCGAGTTCAGGGCTTTATGATGTCTTAGGCTGGCTCCAGTGGGCTTTCGGCGCTCTCAGAAGCAGCGCAGAAGCAGCGCTCAAGCAGCGCCCACCTCTGCGAGACTGTTGGGCAACTGACCCTAAGCTCAAACCTGTTGCAGCTGTGGTAGGCACATGGTGTCACTCCCGCTTTCCTTCCCGTGGGTGTCAACTGTCATGACATGTCAGCTACGCATCGGCAGCTAATAATTCGCTGGCAGAGCTGTCACCAGCCTAGGCAAAAGTGATGCGGAGGCCCGTTGGTGCTGTACAGACCAAACCCCCGGCAATGACATGTTGGATCTAGGATCTATGGCCATAAGCCCCTGAAGCTTTACACAGGGGCCTGAAGCTTTACACAGGGGGCAAAGTCTTATAAGCGCAGCCCGTGCAGCCCGACGAGTACTGCCAAGAAGAAGATGGGACGTACTCACACCAACTCGCGCATCCTGCTGGAGCTGCCGGAGCTGCTGGAACTGCCGGAGAACCTGCCGGCTGAATTCCGACTCCTCCCGCCTGAGAGCAGCCACGGCACTGAGGCGTCGACTGCTGTGACGCGGCTGGCATGTACTGGCACCAGCTGGCACACTCTGCGACGGGACTCGGGCTGAGGTGACCGTCGGGCCGGAGCTCCGAGGCGCCGGAGCAGCCGAGGCAATCCGGAGTCGAGTGCCAGGACATGTGGGGCACCCACCGGCACCAGTTCACGCAGGTGCCGTTCTGGGGCGTCGCGGTGACGGTGCCCTCGGGCTTCACGGAAGGGACTCGGCCAGAGCAGAGGCCGCAGTCGGGGGTGTACTGCCAGGAAGCCTTCGGGACCCACTGGCACCATCCGACACAGCTTCCGTTGCTCCCGCTCTGTGGCAGAAAGGGTCCGTCCAGCTCTTGCCCAAAGCAGCCTTGGCAGCCGCGAGAGTGGTTCCATGAAGCAGTGGGGACCCACTGACACCAGTCCACACAAGATGTATTCGTTGCATTGCTCTCGTTCATCGGTGCTGTAGGGCCCGCTGGCAGAGGGGAAGAGACATTTCCAGAACAGCTGCCGCAGTCTGGAGTGGTCTGCCAGGAGGCGCGAGGCACCCACTTGCAATGCTTCGCACAGCTGATGTTGGCCAGTGCAGGACCGACGGGCTTGGGACCCGCAGGCACTCCTGAGCAGCCACGGCATTCAGGCGTGTACTTCCGCGAGGCCTTCGGCACCCACTGGCACCAACCCAGGCAAGTCTCATTCCCGACAGTCTCCGTGGCTCCCTCCGGCTCCGAGAGAGAAGAGCAGTTTCGACAGTTCAAAGTCTGGTTCCAGGAAGGAGTTGGGACCCACTGGCACCAGCTCATGCAGCTTACGTTGCCAGTCTGCGCGGGTGTAGGGACGGGTCTTGGACCGTCAGAGCAGCCATGGCATTCGGGGGTCGCCCGCCAGGAAGGAGTCGGCACCCAAGTGCACCAGCTCGCACAACTCGTGTGAGTCGTGGAGTCGCCCGGCGTGGCAGCGGGACCATGCCCGGGCCCCGGACCTTGCATGGCGCAGCCATGGCAATCGGGGGTGTACTGCCACGACGGGCTCGGGACATAGGCGCACCACTGGTCGCATTTCCCGTTGGGGTTGGGTGCTGAGACTGGCGCATGCGGCGCATGCGTGGGCGGTGCGGGTGCGGGCCCACTAGCAACCCCCGGAGTCCCGCAGCCTCGGCAGTCACCCGTGTACTGCCATGAAGGTGCGGGCACCCACTGGCACCAGCTAAGGCAGGGCCCTTGAGAACTCGAAGCAATGGCAGGGCTGTGTCCACAGCCTCTCACATATTGCAAGCTCCCCGGTGGGATGGTACGGCACCAAAGAGGGGCTGCCACCTTCACCTTCAAGCCCGATCTTGGCTCTGTCTCAGCCACTGCACCCTGAGGGCTACTCGCGTTGCAGGTCAGGCAATGGGGGACTTCTTTCCACGATGGCCCGGGCACCCAGGGACACCAATCGGCACAGCCCTTCTTGATTTCTGGTAGACTTGCAGTCGTGTTGCTGCAGTTACTGACATATTTCAAGGCATTTGGCGGGACCCAAGCACACCACTCGGAGGCAGGGACATCTGGAACTGCCACAGCCGAAGTTGCAAAGAGAAGGTAAGCTGCACGGAAAGCCATTCTCCAGGGCAGCGCGTCTAAGACAAAAGCTTGCTGGTGATCCTCTGAACCACGGAACTGCGTGGCCGCCGCAACTTCCACAGCGCCTCTAATCTAGACCCTATAGATTTACATAAAGCCCGAAGCTCGAAACCTGTGAAACTAGCGGTAGACCCTCCCTGGGTCCTAGGCCTTGGAAAACACACTCTTCAGGGACTTGGGTCCTAGATATGGCATCGGGGTTGTGCTTGCTCACAGTTTCGCACACTTTTGCGCCAGCACTTCGATGTTTTGCGGACGGCTTAAAGTCAAGATGCTCTGCCCGTAGCAGGGGCCTCCACCAGTGTCTAGGGTTCACCGACCAACTGGCTAGCTTAACATACAGCTAAACCCTAAACCCTAAACCCTAAACACTAAACCGCATGAATGCTGTAGAAGAGCCAGAGGCCATGACATGATTAAACAACTGCGAATATCAACAGCCTTCATAACTTCGTCCATGCAGCTTGCATGATCTACCATGACTCTGAGAACAAGCGCATGGAAATGAACAGGGCTGTCCCAAACTAGATCCGAAATCCCATATCATCCCAAACCGGCCAAAGCTTGTTTGAGAAACACTCACTCACTCACTCACTCACTCGCTCACTCACTCAACAAGCGTAAGAAAGGCCGAAATAGCGATACTCGAGTTGGAAGTTCTTGTCTTACCAGACTTGCACAGGTATCACTAACACGTCATGAAGGTATCCGGCTCAGGTTTAATATAGGGGCCTTAATAATTAGAATAGGGTTTTGGGGGGTATAATATACTTGAATTACAACAAGGAACCCCCAAAATCATATAGGTAGCCTTAATAATTACCTATATTAAGTGTTGATTCCAACCTGTCTTAGACTTGGCCCCTGTCAGCAAAGGCCTTGGGCCAAAGCCGAGCAGAAAGGCACTAAGGGGTCCCCACGTGGAGGGAGCGACGCAAACACCGCCCTGTCGATATGAGGCTTCAGATTAATGGGATCCCTTGGCCGCATCTTGGGAAAAATTCCGCAGTCTTGCTAAAAGCTGTTAAAATAGACCCTAAACCCTAAACCCTAAACCCTAAACCCTAAACCCTAAACCACAAACCCTAAACCCTAAACTCTAAACCCTAAACCCTAAACCCCAAACCCTAAACCCTACCCTTAACGCCGAGCTCAGTGCAGAAGGCTCCATGGACCCTTCTCCTGATCCTTCTCAACGACCGCAGCAGCAACATTCACCTTGCCACGGTTTAGGGTTTAGGGCGTTTAGGGTTTAGGGTTTAGGGTTAAGGGTTTAGGGTTTGGGGTTAAGGGTTAAGGGTTTAGGGTTTAGGGTTTAGGGTTTAGCAACATTCACCTTGCCGTCTTCGAGGCCCACGGCGTTGCCGTTGCTCTGAGAGTTGGCGGACTCGGAGTTGCGACTCCTTCCATGGCCCGGGGCTGAGGATGGCTTATGGGGCCTAGGTTGGCGGATAAAGGGGTGTAGGCTTAGGGTTTGCAAGTGATTGAATCACTCGTGTGC